TCAAAACTCGAGCTTCTGTCCTCACCGTACTGTTTGCTCAACGGCCCGCTGCCCCAGAGCCTCTCGAACCTAAAATCGCTGAAAACCCTCGACCTCTCTAACAACCCATTACAAAGCCCGATTCCGAAATTCATCGGTGATTGGCAAAACCTCACCGTGCTGAACCTCATTTATGCTCAGCTTAGTGGCAGCATACCGCCTGAGATAGGCAACTGCAAAAACCTGAATCTTCTACTGCTTTCTTTCAACTCACTGACCGGTTTTCTGCCCAATGAGCTGTCCGGATTATCCCCCACCACGTTCTCTGTCGAAAGGAATCAGCTTTCCGGCCCTCTTCCCGCCTGGCTCGGAAAATGGGAACATGTCGATGCCTTGTTGCTTTCAGAGAATAAATTTTCCGGAATAATTCCGCCGGAGATTGGTAATTGTTCTGTTCTGAGTCACATTAGCTTGGAAGGTAATTTGCTTACAGGTGAGATTCCTAAGGAGCTCTGTAATGCCCGATTCCTTAACGAAATCGAGCTCGGGAACAATTTTCTCGGGGGAAGCCTTGACGACACTTTCAGCAACTGTAGGAACTTAACTCAACTGGTTTTGATGAATAACAAAATTCACGGCGTGATCCCTGATTATTTTGCCGACCTCCCGTTGATAAGTCTTGAGCTGGATTCGAACAATTTCACGGGCACTATACCCGTCCGCCTTTGGAGCTCATCCACATTGATCGAGTTTTCTGCTTCAGATAATCAACTAGAAGGTTCTCTTCCTGCCGAGATTGGTAATGCCTTGTCTTTACAGGTTGTTGTTCTTTCTAACAACTACATAACTGGAAAAATTCCGGACGAGATTGGGAAATTGCAGTCTCTCAGCGTGTTGAATCTGAACAGTAATTATCTAGAAGGCAATATTCCGGCTGCCATTGGGAATTGCACAGAACTCGGGTCACTCGATTTGGGCAGTAACCGGCTCAATGGCTCGATCCCGGAAGAAATTGTCGGTTTGCCCCAGCTGCTGTGCCTCATTCTTTCCCACAATAACCTATCGGGACCCATACCTTCGAAAAACTCAAAGTACTTTCAGCAGGACTCGGTTATTCCTGCCTCGAGCTTTCTTCAGCACATTGGAGTTTACGATCTCTCGTTCAACCAGTTGACCGGCTCGATACCTGAGGTGTTGGGTGATTGTTCAGTCTTGACGTATATTTTCCTCAACGGAAATTCACTCTCTGGGGAGATACCAGACTCGTTATCCCGGCTGTCTAATCTCACGACGTTAGATTTGACCGGAAACTTACTTTACGGCAACATTCCTTTTGAAATTGGTGATACAATTAAGTTACAGGGGTTGTACCTTGGGGATAACCGGTTTACTGGTCAAATACCCGAGACCCTCGGCAAGTTGAATGGCTTGGTGAAACTTAATCTGTCGTCTAATATGTTATCCGGGCCGGTCCCAATCGGTCTGAGCAAATTATCCGGGCTTACCCATTTGGACCTGAGTACAAACATGCTCACCGGCGAGCTTCCGGTTGAATTATCAAGAATGGTGAATCTTGTCGGGCTATATGCTCAGCATAATCGCCTATCTGGCCGTATTGACCACCTGTTCGGAAACTTGGTCGTGTGGAGACTTCAGATCGCGAACCTCAGCTGCAATTCTTTCACTGGCACCCTACCGAGCTCATTGGGGAACATGTCATACTTAACTGTCTTGGATCTCCACAGAAACAGTTTTACCGGTCGAGTCCCGCCTGAGCTTGGCAATCTTGCCCAGATTCAGTACCTTGATATATCCGAAAACTCGTTCGATGGACAAATCCCGCCCGAGTTATGTGCCCCGACGAGCCTTTATTATCTCAACCTGGCGGAGAACGAGCTGAACGGCCCGGTCCCAAGAAATGGCCTTTGCCGGAAAATTAACAAGTCATCCCTCACCGGTAACAAGAATCTTTGCGGCCGTGTTTTGGATGTAAAATGCCCGTTGAATAATTTCCGAGCCCAAAAAAAGCTACCTTTGACGAACGTCTGGGGACTCGTGTCGGTCTCGATCGGGACTATTCTGATAATCCTCACCGTAATTATCGTTCTACGCATCTGGCTGGCCCGATATGGACGTGACGGAAAAAGGCC